AAATGGTTTAAACATAGTTTTGACGAGAACGGCCTGCCATACTTATATTATTCAAATTGTCTTAAAAACTAAATTTGAATAAAACAGCAGGATATGACAATACAGCAAGATATGACAAAATTTCGAACAAACACAGAATGCAATGCTTCAGAATAATGTCTCATACAACAAACAAATCATAATTTTGTAAAATATAAGGTATTTGTCAAAGACATAGCAGGAGACGTGGATGAACTATGACAAGTGTTTATAAGCATATATAAACTAATCTCATCTCTTAAATTGGTGAATTTAAAAAGACGATATGATGGACTTAATCTCAAACGAGCACTTGTGCCAAGAGCGCATGATATACCATAAGTATGCATATTGAAATTGGTGCAAGAATAAAATGGAATATTTAGAAGATCTTTAGATTAATATAAAGCAAGTAAAGTTTTCACTGTACAAAATAATGCATGCGGATACCATTAGGCGTATAAATATTGTGTTAAATATGACTGTTTAAAATTCCCATAACTCTAGAATGACAAACCAGAATTTTTTCCAAATTTTGAAGATATAAGGCAAAAACACAAAAAATTGGTAAAAATCGTAATCATATATAAATAACTCTAATAAGGAGTTGACTGACGATTTCGAACACCAGACTTATTTGTAGAACTTGTCTTGCTGTTCATTTTTGCTGTTTAAAGTTTCTCTCTATCTATTATAGTTTTCAAGATAATAGGCAAACATGAAAAAAAATGGTAAAATTTGTCATTTAAGGGCAAAAACTCCTATAAGAAGTCGTCTGACAGTTTTGAAGTATATAGACAATTGGTAGAGCTCAACATTTTAAACATTTTTACCCATGTCAGATTTTCTCTATTTATAACGGTTTTCAAAACAATAGACAAAACTTGCATTTTACCCCTACGTTCTATTTTCAGCTGTGTCGGCCATCTTGGTTGGCAGGCGGGGTCATCAGACGCATTTTTTAAACTAGATACCCCAATGATGATTGTGGTCAAATTTGTCCCAGTAGTTTCAGAGAAGATTTTTGAAAAAGTTAACAATGACGGACGACGGACACCAAGTGATGAGAAAAGCTCACCTGGCCCAAAGAGGCCAGGTGAGCTAAAAATGGTTAAATTCATCTTTTAAGGGTAATAACTCCTACAAGAAGTCGTCAGACAGTTTTTGACATAAATTAACAAAAGTTACAGCTCAACATTGTGAACTTTTTGCCCGTCAGAATTTCTTTATTAAATGCAGTTTTCAAAATAATAGGCCTATTTTTAGCCATGTCGGCCATCTTGGTTGGCTAGCGGTTTCATCAGACACATTTTTTAAACAAAATACCCCAATGATGATTGTGGCAAAGTTTGGTTAATTTTAGCATAGTAGTTTCCGAGAAGTTTTTGTAAAAGTTAACAGACGAACGACGCCAAGTGATGTGAAAAGCCCACTTTGCATTTGAGGCAAGGTGAGCTAAAAAGATGCAACAATCTACTTTCAAGGGCAGTAACTCCTTTAAGTGGGGAATGACGATTTCTGTCATGTTGACGGACGACTAACATTTTTTGCAATTGAGAGAGCATCACTTTATCTATTTCAGTTTCTGCAAAAAAAACTTAATAAAGTGGTAAAAATATTCTTTCAAGGGCAATACCGCCTATAAGGGGCGAATTAATTATTTCGGTCATGTAAACTTATTTGTATATTTAACTTGGCTGAACATTTGTTTACATAAAAGTTTTATATCTATTATAGTTTCTGCAGTAATTAAAGGGGCATTAGCTGTCAAATTTATGTTCACCGATTTGACTCAATTTCTCATATTTGCTTTATAACATACTTAAAACATACAATAAACTGTTATCACAGAGATATGTCTCGCCTTTTTGTAATTTTGATAATGCAAATGTTGAAACTAAAAATAGCAATACTTCAACATGCAAGTTGTGCAAATATTCAAAGTCGATGAACCATGACTGAAGGAACATGGCTAAACAATCTCCATGGAAATTAGATGTGCCAATGCTAATACAACTGTATACCAAATACCATTCACTTATTATAAGTTGTTCCCTTTAAACAAACCAAAACACAAACATTAACTTGTAAACTATGTAAAAGTTTCAAAGTCAATGAACCATGATGATGGGGTGGGGCTTTATAATCTCCATGGAAATGATACTCGCAAATGCCAATAAATTTGCATATCAAATATCATTGACTTAACATTAGCAGTTCATCTTAAACTGATCTAATCACAAACTAATACATGTAAACTAAGCAAAAGTTTCAAAGTCAATAGACTATGACTGAGGGGTGTGGCCAAATATTCTCCATGGAAATGAAATGTGCTAATGCTTATACAACTGAAAACCAATTAACATTGGCCTACCACTAATGGTTCTCCTTGAACTGACCTAATCACAAACTAATACATGTAAACTAAGCAAAATTTTCAAAGTCAATAGATCATGACTAAGGGGGCGGAGCCAAATAATCTCCATGGAAATGAGATATGCCAATGCTTATACAACTGCATACCAAATATCATTGACCTACCACTAGTGATTCCCCATAAACTGACCTAATAACAAACTAATACATGTAAACAAAGCAAAAGTTTCAAAGTCAATATACCATGACTGAGGGGGCAGGGTTAAATAATCTCCATGGAAATGAGATGTGCCAATGCTTATACAACTGCATACCAAATATCATTTACCTACCACTTGTGGTTCACCATAAACTAGACTTAATCACAAACTAAATACAATGTTGACGCCGGAAAGAGCATACCTATGTCTCGCTTTTTGACTCCCTCAAGGCGAGACAAAAATGTATATCCAATTTACAAAATGATCAAAGGAAACAACTGACAATGACATCAGCAGTTCTTGCTTATTTCAGACTAGGTCCTGTTTAATTAAACCTAAAAAATGAAAACAAAGTGCTATAAATTTTATGCCTCCGAAGCACTTTTTTGGATTTACCTTCATCAGGAAAGCTCAAAGCCAAATAATTAAAAGCCAAGGATATATCGAAACAGTTGAAGAACTATATTACCAAAAAGGACCTAAAAAAAATTAGCCAAACTCATCTAAGGTCAACTTTGCCTGAGGGAGTTGAAGCCTTAGTTTCTAATAATTTCGAAATTTATTAACGGACAATTTCAGAAAGGTTTGTTATAAATCATGTCAGTACCGAAGTACTGACTAATGGGACGTCCTTGAAGACTGATACTGGTCATATCACCGGATTTAAACAAATAAAATATACAGACAAGTCCAACTAATCGTACGAGGATTTGTCTAAGTCTGTTTGATTTCATGTAAAAGATTAAAATATCAAAATTGTCAATGACTCTGCAAGAATGCTTTTTTTGTGAGCCGAATCAGTCAAAATAAATGGGGAATGTGTCCATGGGACACTGATGATGCACCCGCTTGCATTATAAAGGGACATAACTCAAGAACGGTAAAAGTGACACTACCCAAATTGGTACTTGATCTGAGTGTTGTGGTAATAAGCATTGTGTATAAGTTTCATATCATTTGGTTGCGGCAAACTTATAAACGGAAATGAAAAATTCAGCAATTTTTCCATTTGTAAAGGGGCATAACTCTAGAACAGTAAAAAATTTAAACTTGATCTGTGTTTTGTGGTAATAAGCATTGTGCATAGGATTCATAACATTTGGTTGAGGCAAACTAAAGTTAGAGAACGAAAACCAATTTCGGGACTTACTACGAACAGACGGACAAGGGTAAAACTTAATGTCCCCTCCACTACGGCAGGTGCATAAAAATTGATTCTTCCTTGCTTGTTTCACTTTTCTATGTTGACATTCTGTTTAATAACTGAACATGCTTAGCCCATGCAAACTCATCTCCAGCTTAGGGTTAAATTAAAGGTTGCATGAATATGAACTCAAATGAGTTGAATTATTGACTTGCAAGCCAACAATACATCAGCTATGTTGTTTTAAACTTATTTAGACCAAATTGACTTCTAATAAGGAATTATTAATTCATTATTTTGCTTTTATAAAAATTATAAAGGTTGAATCAGTCATGTTGACTTGTTAATATATCAAATTTGGCTGAACATTTTTTATATTCAAAGTGGGACTATCACAGTATCTGCAAATACATGCAACTTAAAAAGGTGGTAAAAATCTACTTTTAAGGGCAATATCTCCAACCAGGGGTTGATTGACAATATCAGTCATGCTGACTTATTTGTAGATCACTTTGCTGAACATTTTTGGTCTTTTTTTATACATTGTAGTTTATCTATTCCAGTTTCTACAAAAAAACTTAAGACTTTCAAAATTAATATCTCCTATAAGGGGTGAATTGACAGTTTCAGTCATGTTGTAGTTATTTGTGGATCTAAATAATGTTCTATTTTCAGCAACAGCAGCCAAGTTTATACATGGATCAAATTCCCAGATACAATCTTAAAACCAGATACCCTAAGGAACATCCAGGTAAAGTCTGCAAGTATTTGGCCCAGCAGTTTCAGAGATGATTTTTTTTTATAAAGATTACTAGGACAATGCAATAAAATACATAGCAAAAAACACTATTAGAAGGAGACATGTTGAAAAAATTAGAGAAATTGTGTTAACAAAGGTATTACACATCCTTGGATGCATTTGAAGATTCAGATGTCAATGTAAAATTGTTTCTTGGCAAGAAGTTCCTCTGGAAAATTTGAAGTAAACAATGCCACAACTGTTCCTCTTTGAGCAAATATTATTCCTGCGACAAGATGGCAATAGTACTAAAGCAAAATAAGAGGAATGAGTCATGCAAAACAACAACACCATGACAGAATAATACATGTAAGTGTTGAATTATAACAGTATGTATCTGAAGAAAAGAAATCTGGATGGGTTATTACTCCAAATTAAACATCTGAGCCAAAAAAATGGTGACAAAGCCTTAAGATTTTGGTCAATAATAAGAAAATGGCCAAAGTAACTACTATAAAACAAATATTGATAAAAGTGTTTTATTACCATTCCTTTTTCTTTGGCAATGTAAAACACCTAGTAGTTCAACCAGAATGCTCAATTTATACTAGAAGTATAACAAATACACATTAACAACACATTAATAATAATGAAATACAATAAAAACATGTGTATCCTAATATTCTTAATAAATAAAGCTTGAAATAAAGAATGGACTACTACCATGATTTTATAAACTGTGAACTCTGGTTGATAATAATGTTATGTTTGCGTAACACGCCTTTCAAACACATCAGATATTTTTCTCTCAGTATCAAAACAAATATTCATCATACCAACATATACACAACCATTCACCCATGTTCATTCACAATCAGATAACCTCTAAAATACAGATACAAAAACAGACAATTTGATTTGACACAACACAATTTGCAGGTTTTCCCCATGGATTATGTCCCCTCTTAAAACTTGATCACATTATTATAAATTCTGCCATACATAGATGAAGAGAAGATGAATTAAAAACTGTCCTAAAATCTTCTTTCCTATAACTCATCGTGGTCATGTTCATCCTGAAATGAAATAAGACATTTAATTAAATAGTTTGTCATAACTTAGTGCTCCGACTGAAAAAGTGGAACATGTAAAAGTACAAATTATATGTAAATGACTTTGATTATTAATTGTAATAAACCAGGGCAGGTTTTATACATCCATTTTTTACCATGAAAAAATATTTCAATATCTGTTTAGAAAAAATACATCATTTCATCTATATCTAAAAAATAATTAAAAAGGCACAAGTTGAAATATTCAAATGACTGACAATAACTGCCTAAGCTATTACTGAAACTTTTTTTGGGGAAAAATATTTTTCTAAAAATAACTCAACTCCATTTCATGAGAAATTTAAGCATATTAAAATTATTGACCCTGAGTTGTAGAGTTTGTATTTCTACCATAATTTAACCCTTCTTTCCCATTAGTTTTACCAGTTATCCAAGAAATAATTATCCCTTTCATAAACTGCTTCAAAACGTGATAATTGTAATTTAGCTCCTTTAGAAAAACAGCTTTTCTTGTATGAATTGTTTAAACTTGTCATTTCTGGACCCTTTATAGCTTCCATGCAGTATGGGTTTTGCTCATACACCTTATCGCTAATCCCGCTTGACCCGAGAATCAGTCCCGCTCGAACTTTTGACGTCATACAACAATCACTTTTCCATTGTGGCGTCAGATATTTTCTATTATGACGTCAAAATTTTACGGGAACTTGTGTGATGTCCAGTAATGGCGGACAAATAGCGATAAGGTGTATTGTTGAATGCTGTACAGTGACCTACAGTTGTAAAGTTCAATGTAATTTGGTCTTTGGTGGAGAGTTGTCTCATTGGCAAACATACCACATCATCTTATTTTTATATTTAAATAAAATAGCTGATTATACAAAATGTTACAATAGAGTATAAGTGATTGAGGATGTTTCTATCAGTTAACTTACTTTATCTTCTTCTCCAGCATCATCATCTTCCTCCTCTTCCTCTTCATCACCACCTTCTTTTTTATTTTTATCTGAAGATTAAAACAAAAAGGTTTAAAAAAAATTGCATTTTTTGGGTAAATTTAAACATATTTTCTGAAGTAATAAAATGTAATGTTTGAACAAAGTGTGTATTTGATATGCAACATAAAAGGTTCATAAATTGAAAAGGCATCATTAGATTATATTTATATAAAAAACGCATCCATTCAAAAATTAATTCGGGAGACATTCAAAGCAATAAAAGGTTCTCACTGAGTGTAGAGGGTCAGGGATCATGAAAAAGCCTTCATAAGCAATTGTTAGGATCATGTCCTTATTTCTGAATATTTCAGATAATAAGCTACCTTCATAATCAAGGTATGTCATTTAATATTTATAATTTATCCAGGAAGAGATTACAAGTGTAGTGCAGTTATCATCCTATTTCATGCATACCTTCTTCTTCTTTACGTTTCTTGTCTTCTTCTTCTCTTACTTTCCTTTCTTCCTCATCTTGTTTATCTTTCATTGTTTTTTCTGCATCTTTTGTTTTTTCCCATAAATCTTTTCCTACTTGTTCAGCTTTACTTTCATCATCAGTTACTAAAATGTTGTCAAAAATGGTACCTGATTTTACCTGCAAGTAAAAGAATAAAAACATTTAAACAAGTGTGCACAAGCTGTAATGTTTTGGTTGGTTTACTGATTATGATTGAATGTTTGTTGAAACTTTCAATTTTAAAGTCTTTATCAATGATCCATGTTGTGAACTAGCATGTAATATTCATTATTGCAATTATAAGAAATTCAGCATACAAATAAATTTTTCGAAATCAGAATGCAATGTTGTTATTTTTACAAAAAATATCCTGTTGTAATTCACCATAATGAAAACATCACAAAAATTTCAGACTTTTAAGATTAAGTAAAAGAAAGACAACTCTTGCTATCATTTACATATTCTCTCCCTTACCTGCCATAAATCAAATCCTACTGCTCCAATATCAGTATATCTATATACATTTTTATCCTCTACATATTCTGGGTTATCAATTTCTGGGTGAACCCATTTTCCTTTATAAGCTGGGTTGTCTATTTGTTTTGGTTTCCATTCTCCCTAAAAAGAACATACATTCATGTCACTTGATTGATTATATATTCTAAATCATATTTCACATTTATTAAAAAAATATTCAAACCATAACGAGAGTAGCATAATATCAACGTAAAGATCTTCAGTATCTCACCTAATCCATCTTTCTATATCAGTGAAATAAATGGTAATGGTATTTTATTATATCATATTCTGATACATGTACCCCATAGTAAATATGTCAATAGTAGTCAAACTGATTTTCCTAGAATCCTTTTTTATGATTTTGGCGGTCTTGTTTTCTAACAAATATAAAACTTCAATAAAAACTAACTATGTGTGCTCTACTTCCATTTTAAAAATAAGGTTGCTTTTTTAAAAATCTGGTGAAATCAAAGATCAATTTTGTTTTGAACATAAACACTTGCCAATTTCTTTTAGATTGACTGATAGTAAACAGCTATAAACATCAAGGTGTTTATAGTCTTGTGAAAAAAAAAATCAATACCTATGAAACAAAATACATGTATATATATCATGTCTATACAAATATAAATTGTAGCCTACTTTGTAGTCTGGGTTATCAATTTGTGGTGGTTCCCATTCTCCGTCCATTTCATCATCCCAATCGTCAGGTTTTTTGGCATCTGGGTCGGGGATGTGTTCTGGCTTGTCCCAGTCTTCTGGTTTTTTGTCTGCTGGGTCATCGATTTTCTCATTTTCATCCCAATCGTCTGGTTTCTTTGCTTCTGGATCCTATAAAAATTATATATAAAACATTGCATTTTTTTTTTACATTTTCATAAAATAACATGTCTAAATACAATCCAGCACATAATTAAATCAATGTATTAACAAAAAGGACTTTATAAAAGTATCTGCCAAAGATATATGCAATATTGAAGGTGTTTATACTAAAATTGTGATATGAACAATATTTTAAAACCATCATTGTGATCACATTGATATCCACTATTTCTTACCATCAAACAACCAATTTCTATGCAAAGAACAAATACATTACTATGCATTGATATCATAGTAAATTATGAGGCTAAAATCAATTTTGAACAAACTCCATGGGTTCTCGAAAAGTGGAGGTCCAAAGGTTATGACCACCAAAATTTTGAAAGGACAGACACAATTTTGGCATTTTGCAATAGAAATAAAAGTGAGGACCAGCAGATTTTCTACAAGGACCACCAAGGAAAAATAGATTTCGAGAACTCTGCAAACTTTAAAAACTCCTTTTTAAATTGGAGCCATTCTTAATATAACCCCTGAGAAATCAATAAATAAATTTATTTCTATACAAACCTTAATTTTTTTAGGTGGAAGGAAATCCCAATCATCTTCCAAAGTTCCACTCTCAGCTTTAACATTATCTATTTTAACTTCATATGTGTTGTCAGGTCTTACAATCAATGTGTATAAATGGGTGAACACATCATCCTGAAATTAAATTTGATAGACTTTCATTACCGGTACTGAAATTAAGTAGGCAATGGTTTGATAGACTCTCTTCAGATTGTATTCAGAACAAACAAGTAGCTTAAATCTATGTCATTTGGACTGGTGGATAGTTTTCTCATTGGCAAGCATACTGCATCTCTAAGTTTATAAGGAGAAACTTTGCAGGTCAACACTTGTACATGTACTGTACACATAGCAGTCAAATTTGAATGTAGGTTTATTCCATGAATTATCATAGTAAAAACATCAAATGAGCTTCAATAACTGAACAGATCTAGATCAGCTCAAAAACTGAAATTTCTTTTTTCGATAATCTTATATATATATATATATTTGGCCCTGATGAAATTTTAGCTGTTTTCACATACTCTGCAATACACCTCCTCTAATCATCAAAAGAAAACTACTGTACCTTGCATCTGATTTCCTTTTTGGTTAAAAGATTTTTTCCTTTGTAGGTGAAAATCACATGTACTTTTTTGGTTCCTGGTCCGCATATGTCAGGGCCTGAAAACAATAAGTTCAAACCAATAATTTCAATTTGGTCCAATACTAATAGTACCATCTGTTTTTAATTGCTAGAAAAATAGCTATATGAATTTTATATGCACTTGCAGCAAGTGATACATTGAAAAACAGAAGTATCAGCTGTACTATGAATTTAATGATAGCATTTATTACTTTTGAAAGTAGTCCTCAGTCATTCAGAATTGTCAGAACCACATATTTATAACAAAACAAGTCAGCAATTTCAGTTCAGGAAAAATCAGCTTTGATCAAGCATTCTGAGAGTATTGCATGGCAATACATAGTCCCCTACCGGGTAAAAATTCATTATACTGGAACAAAATGCTAACTTGTTCTATAACTTGTCATGGTGTTAACAAAAAGAAAATATCAAGTCAATATCTTCAAGCATGACTAAAAACAGAGTGGAAAACTGATTATATGAGTGAATTTTTCAAGTCCAAGGACATTAACTCTGCACAAAATTATTAGACCGAAACAAAAATTTGAACTTGATCTGTAACTTGTCATGATAAAACTATATACCAATTATCAATCAATATCTTCAAGCATGATGAAAAAAAGTGTGGAAAACACTCTAACATTAGATGTGATTAATAGTTCTCTAAAATTAGATTTGATGTAATGCAATGTATATTTATTTTCAAGTTATAATCAATAATAATTAATAGTTCCAAATATTTTTTCTTTCATTTGTCACAAACTAATATAGATTTGTAACTTATCTATAAAATGTCAACAACTTTTATCTATACACAATGTAATGTAATGAAATTATATACCTTAATAAAAATAGATTATTATCTAATTAAAAGATTTCACTTCATAATTTTTTTTTATGTATATGGCATTCAGAAAATTAGTTTATACAAAATAAAAACACTTCAAACAATTAACCAATAAATGTCTTTATAAAAACGAGTTATCTCTCTTTGTACAGAAATATGGTTTAACATACAAAATGTAGTACTCTAACATTAGATATGGACCACAACTCTGGACTAAATCATCAGACCGGAACAAAATTTGAACTTGATCTATAACTTGTCATGGTAAAACTATATACCAAATATCAAATCAAATTCTTCAAGAACTAAAAAAAAAAGTGTGGAAAGCTATTTTCCGGACTGATGGATGGACAGACAGACGGACGGAGTGCAAACCTAAAGTGCCCTTTGACTTCCTCGGTAGGGGACTAATAAGAGAAATACCGATCAAAACCTTGTTCATTTCAACCTACCAAACATGATAAGATATGGAGAATCTCCATGCAAATTTTTCTGGTCAACGTCACTTGGATAAAGTTTCATGTATCCTCCACCACAGTCGATGTTCTGTTCATGTTTCACAGTGAACTGGATAACTAAAGTCTTTCCCTCATTGCTGATGGGCTTATCAAGTTTGCTGGAAATTCCATAAAACTTTGCATCCTGGGATGTTTGAATACCTGTAAAATTAAAGATTTAATATATAGATTAACAGACACGATAAATTTTTCCATGGCATTGGATCAAGTGGTAAAAATTACTAGCACAGGCACTGATCTATTGATAGTTGATGAATTTTCAGCGAGATTTTAATAAACAAATTTAAGAATCCTTTCAATATAACAATCAACTGAATTTTTTTTTTTCTATATGTGATATTCATATCAAATGTCTACCTTTGTCAAGATCTGCATCTCCGTAGAATTTTCCTGCAGTCCATTCAAATTTGCCTTGATCTGCTCCTTTGGCAGTAGATTCAACCCATCTGTCCTTCCAATCATCTTGAAAAGATAAATAAAATAAAACACATAAATATATGTTACAAGACAACCACATGCAACTCTGGCTGGGATAATCTAGTTTTGTGATCGCAACCCTCCCACTTTTACAATTTTTCCAACTGCTTTCCCTAATAGCAGTTCTAATGGTGAATATTTTATCCTTCTAAACACTGAATTTAAAGAAGTGTCACCAAACATTACAAAAAAGTCTCTACCCATTTCAGATAGGATAAGACACATTTTTTTCTGTAATTCTTTAATTACATTGTTTTTTATATACATTTTGTCATTTAATGATTTATACCGATAGCATACAAAAATAAACAAGTATTATAAATATATCACAAAAAGAATAAACTATTATGACAATTTAGAACTTCTGGTGTGATTTAAAGAAATATAAAAGGCTACTGAGGGCCTAGTATTCATTATTTATAAAAACAAAACTAGTGTTGTACAACTTGTAGTAGACACAGCAAGCCTGTCTATCAGATTTGAACAAGAACAAACGAGCAGCTTGTATTTACCTATTTTTACCATTTTACTAGTGAAAAAATACTGGCCATTGAAACTATTAGAATTATATTTCAAAAGAATGCAAAGCGTACATTATTGTAGAAGTAATCGACAAAAGTAATTCACTTTTTTGACAGTTCAAGATTGTGTGTTCTTCTCCATGTGCACACCACCGTCTCTCAAAAGTTGTAAAAAAATATTGTTAACTCACCACTTGAGAAACCCTCTTGGAAATAAACAGTTGGGTCTGACAATGCTACGCCGAAAACGGCGACAAGCAACAGGAAAGTTCTCATTATTCGACGATGTTCCAATATGATGTTCCAGTAAGATGTTCACTTCTCTGATGTTTGTATTTCCAGTGAGAAGATGCCGGGACACACGTGACAGGCCAGATGGAAGATTGTCATTGGATATATATTTAACTCGGTGGACCAATCGATTCGTACCACGCGCCCGGCTATCTACGTCAAACTATTCCTGTTGTATTCGGCTGTTTCCGATGCCACGGATATTTATATTTATAATATCCAATCCGATTTTGACAGCACAAAAAGGGGGGATAGACTGACACGAAAACAATAATTTAAGGCCAGGCAAATTTAGTTTGAGCTAATAGAAAGAAATGTTAAAAAAATACCGTTCAAAGCTTATTACAAAGAAGTTTTTGTTTAAAGGTAAAAAAGCAAACCTTGATTAATTTATAAAGATATTTTTATGAGAATAAAATAGATTGTTACTAAATTCTAGGACTATATTTATAGTATAATAGTTCCAGCTAAATTATACAAACAAAAAACAAACAAAAATACACAATATTTTTTTTTTAAATTTTTATTTCCCAAATTACAGGGCCCATAAAGGGCAAAAAAATCAGATTGACATATTTGATAATTACAACAATAAACAGCACAGTGTACATGGGCATGTATATTTAGTATTAGAGCTCTGATTTAGTATATTAGCATTGGTCAGAATAGGAAATTAACAGACATATTATACAAAAACAAAAGTTCTTAGCTTATTTGTTGTTTTTTTTAATGCTAGAAACATGCCTATTCTCAAATTAGCATATTACAATTATTCCGTACATTTAGAACCACTCTGATTTAGAACAGTTATACAAAAAAGAAGAAATGCTGATTACCTCTAAAATATATTCATACATATACTAGGTAATGAAATATCTATATAAAACCTTGCATGTAAAATACATGATTGTTAAATTTTCCGTTTCTGTAATTATACGTCTCACGGCAAGGATTTGTATAGCAATCCGTATTCTTCACCAAAAAAAAATTATAAATGTTTTTTTTTGTTTGATTTCTCAGAAATAAATCAAGGAAAAATATTATAAATTTCATTAAACATACAAAACAAAGAGCAAAAGAAGAGTGCGTTAATTAAAGCCGTGCCATATATTTCTCTAATCATATTGCTTAAAAATGGATTTTTAGCGAAAAGATATTTATTCATGAATATTGAAAGTTTAAAAGTCAGATCTTTCAAATATATTAAATGTTCACGCGGATTTTACGATTGATTTGCATAAATTAAAATTTTCTGTAAACTTTCACCCGAAAACATATTTTATGTGTGCATGCATGAACACACTAGTTGTGTTTCTAGAAAATTTACTAAAATCTATGTTTTTCGCAGCGGGATCTCATACAGATAGGGCTTTTCCCTCATCGCACAATCTTTTGTTATGTTGAAGGCACAGAATCACAGTACATGTATAAAAACCTATTTTAATCCTCGTGATCATATTCCGATGTATATATCAGCCAGGATCCTCGCTATAAGATGCATGTCTTTATGATATATATCTTTATGTTTGGTAAAGTCGTTAGGATAATTTGATGTTTGCTGATCTTTCACCAATAGTCTCTGCATAATTTTAGACTCTGGCCGATTAATACCTTGGCACATTTATATATATAAAGACAGACACTTGCATGTCTATTCGGCTGACGACCATTAGTTGTTGACCTCTTGGCGTTTATTAAGATTTTTGTGTCGCTGGGTTGCTGTCTCATTTAAGTACATCGTACATCTCACTTTATTCTCAGTGTGATACATTTGTATCCAACCTGGACATTCATTATGTCACATAATTAAACATTATTATGTACCCCAACCCCCACCCCTAAAAACCCAACCAAAAGACTCTAACAAAACAACAAACAAAAACAAACAAAACACAACAAAGGAGAAAGAGGATACCAACATCCGTGACACGGATTTTTAAATTAAGAGTTTCGGAAAGATTTTGGTATGACGGGATATCCGGACATGCCGGATACATGAAAAGTAAAGGTAGATAGTTCTTAGTGTGTCCATGTTATAGATTTTGTATCAATATCATGCAGTATATTTGATGACATGATGCAAAGGAAGATATATGATAGCGATACGAACAGCTAGGAGAAAGTGGTCTATGTTATTTGCTTTATATATAAATATCGAAACGAGGCGAGCTATTTAATTTTAAAAGTGTTTACAAGTCTTTGCTATATAGGCTAGTACGTGTAGGAGTGTCCGTAACATTTAAGATAGACGAAATTAATTATTTCTGGATATTTTTTTTTGTTGATACAAGAAGTTAAAACAATATAGAAACTAGTCCGTTTCTCACGGAAAGTAACTAAACCTGTTGTTGCTGTTGTCCGAGACTATATATTAAACCGTGTGCATGGTTTACATGGATATCTAAGTTGTCATTAATAGCGGGTATCTAAGGAATGTTTACATCGAATATATATATGAGGGTCTGGATAGGGGTTCCTTCGATTCTCTATACTTTATTTTTTCAAGCCGGGTTTCTCTATTCAGTATGAATTTTGCCATTTATCTCTATTCTTTATATTTCAATACCTCTTTTTTTTCAATTTTTTATTTTTTTGCCCTATTTTCTCTATTTTTTATTTTTTTGTCCCATTTTTCTGTAGTAGTGGTCCATTATTCTCTTTCTATAAACCCCATCCATACCCTCATTTATCTCACCCCTTTAATTGTTTTGATTTATCTCTAAACATATTTGATCAATACTTTATGTAAGCTCTTCAGATAAAGTTCTTCGTGGTTATTTGATGCCGGCCCTTTTTTGGTTGTAATATTGTCTTAGTTAAAGCTATATTCTATTATCTTTCATGGCAAGAACAAAAAATCAACCATTAAAATATAATTGGCATTTACCGCGTTCTGTACGTCGACAATTCTTTTCAAGTGACATGTCCGACAGTTTGGCACACATTCTTCCCTTCCCCAACATATCCTCTTTTTTACAGTGGCAGTCCGAATTTCTTGTCCTTCTTCCCGTTAGACACTTTTGCAGATCCTACCACTTTGATTTATTTTTGATTTGATCTCGTTCTAAATTGATACGAATGAAATATATGCAACTGAACGTTAAGCAAACAGTAACCAATCATTAATTCTATCTCCTTTCAATCACAGGGACAAATATAACGTACCGATTGAACCTTAAACAGGAATTGTTTCATCGATGGCGTCCACTCGCTTAAATTGCAGCTGTCTATCTATGTAATGAGGTTCAGTCCAAAGATAATTTGTTGATAATTTCTTTATATAAAAATAAGCCGAAGATATAGTATGATTGCCAATGAGACAACTCTACACCAGAGACCAAGTGACGTAGAAGTTAACAACTATAGGTCACCGTACGGGCTTCAACAATGAGCAAACCCATACCGCATAGTGGGCTGTAAAAGACCCGAAGTGATAAATATAAAACAATTCAAACGAGAAAACTAACGGCATGATTTACGTACAAAAACAATTAACGAAAACAGAAAATGATATACAGCAACAAACAACCACTGGATTACATGATCATGACTTGGGACAGGCACATACATAATGTGGCGGGGTTAAACATGCTTGCTTGCGCCAACTTGTGACAAACCCGCCACCTAACCTGCATGGGACATGCATAAGCATTGATATCAGCAGTCTTATTATATGTGTTAATACAGTATTCACGCGTCGTACAAAAGTTCTCAAAAACAAACTTATCGGGCTTTATGGGGGGCTATGCCGCCCTTTTTCAAAATCCATAGATACATTCTATGGTTTACAGTTATTAAAGGGCCGCTAATGTGATCACTCTTTAATAGTGAACAGAAGATCCTGCGATCAAACGGAAATACATGTATAAAGGTTATCTAGCTATACTCAGTATAGCGCCAAATTCAACTTACGATTGAAGGATGATGTCTCATGTCTCAATTTTTTAATAAGATTTTCAGGCACAAATATTTGACAAAGTAAATTAATTGTATCTACTATCTGAACAATTTGTTGAATTGGTGATATTAAAATAGATGTGCAATTTTATGGAATAGTACTTTTTAGTGTAGACCCTAAGTTGGTTAAAAAGTTTCCAAAGCTTTTTCAAAATCAGTCCGTAAATTGATAATATCAAAACAAATATTAAGCAAAAATGAAAAAAAAGGAATTTGATATGATTTGCCAGATACATTTCCGTTTAAGCTGGGAAAAAATGCATGTTTCTGTACTTTCAGGTATAAGATACTAGTATCGGAATATACTGACGGACTTTAAAAACGCAACACTTATTTTGTTTATTTTTTTTTTCATCAAATCATGACTTATATTCATTTCATTGCCTATCTTGACGCGAAATTAGAAGCGCATACATGATTTTTTTGAGATTTTTTTCTTCGTTAAACATTTCTTTGAATCCATTGCCAAGTTTTAATCGGTAAAAAGTTGTTGATTTTCATTTTTGTCACGACTGAGAAATGAAAATTGATATTAAGTCATTAGAAATTTACAGACAGAATTTAGTGCACGTTCTTTTGAGAACAATTTCGCGCCATAAAATTACTTTTAAGTCCCTGAAACTTCAGAGCAGGTAGTCATAACTAGTAAGTGACCACCTATGAATCCGGTCAACCTGTAGTTTAACGTCACCTCATTTCAATCAAATTAGGCAACGTCATTTGCTACACAGTATAACGGATACAACGTCAGTTTTTTACCATGTCTTTGGTTGTCATGGCAGACAGATTTTCATCAGCAATGTTTCTCGTATACGCCTTATCGCTATTTGTCCGCCATAACTGGCCATCACACAGGTTCCCGTAAAATTTTGACGTCACAATACAAAATATCTGACGCCACAATGGAAAAGTGATTGTTGTATGACGTCAAAAGTTCAAGCGGGACAGATTCTCGGGTCAGCCGGGAATAGCGATAAGGTGTATTCTGAAATGCTACATAATCCACTGTAGAATTGTTTTCAAAGGTTTCAGTGTACACCACATAACTGCAAAAACAGACTGAAATTGATGGAAATGGGCAAAATCAGAAGGGGGAAAACTTGACTAAAAACATTCCCAACAGTAATGGTTAACCTTTCTGTCAATCATTTAGGGATTTTTAACAGTCGTCTTTGCCTTTGACTTTCGATTGACACGACCAATAATGAAGAGAAAACCAGGATTTTAGTGCATACCACATGATTTAAATCCTGGTTTTCTCTTCATTATTGGTCGTGTCAATTATAGTTTACCTGCTTTTATTTAGCTGTTTTTGTAATGATCGCAGATCTATAATTCATTCCCTTTTCAAAAGAGAGGTGAAAGATACCAACGGGACATTCAAACTCATAATTCAAAAATAAACTGACAATGCCATGGCTAAAAAAGAAAAAGACAAACAGACAGACAATAGTACACAAAACACAACATAGAAACCTAGGACTAGGCAACACGAACCCCACCAAACACTGGGGATGATCTCGGGTGCTTCGGAAGGGTAATCAGCTCCACATATAGCACCCGTCGTGTTGCTCATGTTAGTACAAACCCGGTAATAAGTCATAATCGGTAGGTCACATTCGGGGAAAAGGAGGAGGGATTGTAGTTATGACATTTGGAACATATCCGCTATCATCTGTGAAACGGATATTCCATAGCGGTCAACCAACTCGTGACGGCGTCCGTAAAATTTACGAAAGGTTAATATCTTCCTTGTGAGCAGCAACCCTCTATCAAGGAAATCATGATAGGAAATACAAGCCCTGGAATATCGTATCAACTGGGAGATATATACTCCGTATGCAGGCGCTGCTGGAATGTTGATACATAGAAATAGAAAGTTCACACTTGCGGGAAGCTGAAATCATCTCTTTTGTCGGAAAGTTTTGTTTTCAACCGACCCTCGATGTAAGTCAAGATATGAGGCAGACTTAACTGTGTCTGTTGGTATCCTTTATCTAAAGTTCGATGGGATCGATGCGTTCAACATAGTCATCAGTTTGTTCTAAGGTTATATCATTTACCCTGGCTTTATATGGAGGGTCGAGCGCTACGTGACAATAATGTATTTAAAAAAGCAAAGGAGTTGTGGGGCACAGGTTAATGAAACAGCAACTAAACGATAAAAATACCGGAATGAAATCTAGAGGGCATCACACATGTATGCAGTCTTCCACAATAGACAGGACTAACTAGTGTCAATATGACATTAGTCGTCCCGAGTCTATAAACATTTCGAATATATTAACTAGATGCAGTCTGTCAGCCTTAAACACCAAATTCTCAAAATAAACAGATAAAAAAAACCAAAAGATATGAAATAAGACAACCCTTGCAATTGACGAGGTTCCGGGCATAGGACAGACACAAAAACATGTTTAACCCCACCTTAGTCTTTTTGTGTCTGACAAAAGCCAGAGTTTTGCCTGTAGAATATAGTGGTTTTCGTTTGTTGCAGTCTGCCATGACTGTTTTCTCTTTGTGTTATTTAGTTAAAAAAAAAGGGAAAGAAAAGGGGGTCCATGCCGCCAAGCGCCTGTGCAACAGAAGTAATCAGGCAATCATGCTTTTATCTAAAAATAAAAAATGAAATATTAGAAAAACTATATAAAAACGAAAAATCTAAAAACAAAGAAAAAATGTAAAAATGAATAATATAACAAATATACAAAAATATGGAATACAAAAAATTTGACAATCTATGTTTAACTGCATTTATATATACATAAATTTGAAAAAAAATACCAGGTATGCGCCGGAAAGTAAACATCAGTATGTTGATGGTTTTCTGAAACTGAAGAACAGAAGAAGAACAATTGGTCCATTTACGACAAATGTTTAAAAATAATGATTAACCCGGCAGTTGCGTAGGAGCAGACTGAAAAATAAGACACACTTTCGAAAGCGACAAAAAAAAATCTATCATGATGGTGTAGATTCAAAGTTAATAAGTGCCCTCTTTCATTTTCACTTTTTTATCATCAATATTATTTTATATGTGTAAAAAAAATGGGGGAGGCAAAAACATACTTTGGCCCTCCACTTTTGTAGCGGACAATAGTCCCATTTGCCCCATCCCGCTCTTACGCCAGTCATACAGTTTATAGAAAAAAAAATCTCAATTAAGATTTCATATATTCAATTAAAAACGGGAAAAGAGCAAAAATATTTCTGTGGCTTTACAGCGGTGCAATATGTTAAACCAAGGATTTGTATAATATACAAATCATTGGTTATGCCTGGGAACAGTATATCTCAATATATATGTTCCTGGTTATGCTAAAAAAAATCGACTTTAGTTTTGGAGTATCATTTTACACTTAAAATTCCACCTTGAATGCACAAAAAAACATCAACAAGTTCAAATACGTTAATAACGTAAAAGAAATCTTCAGGAAAGACGAAATATATTGAAAAACATCGATTAACAACTTTTAATCTGCTAACCGAGTCCCTGATGATAATCTCACTATATATACAAATCCTTGCTGTAGATTGCATAGACCAGCATTACTGTATAATAATCATATTGATGTGTAAATATGTATATTATAAAAAAAAAAAAAATAGAGCAAAAAACCATGTAATGTTCCGTTTATTTCGACTGATGAGGTACAATGTTATTATTATTAAATCGATATAGATCATGAATTTGATCACCGCGGAGTGCTCGATCGATTGTTATTTTGTCACGTGATCAAAATAAACCAGCTGTTCAAGATGGCGGCTATCAGGATACACGAACTTTTGTTTATTTTCACATTCTTGTCGATTGCTTCTGCGACAGGAGTATTTGATAGGGTCTTAGATGATATCACTACTTGTTCCGACAAATGCTCAAACACATACACGCCACACACTTTTGAAAAGGTAGATAATTTAATTTTAAAATGTTGATAAACCTTGAACAATGGAGTTATCACGGTTTGTTGATTTGTGGTATTCATCACAAATTATCACTGAAAAGAAAAGAAAGTAAAATTAATAGGTTATAAAAACTGACATGCAAGCATATTGAAAGAGTTGTTTCTCTTAAATGAAGTCAATATAGTTTTGACATTTTTAAGGAGATCAATCGTATTTTGTATGAGAAAATGAACATTCAATGACCGGTTGGTACCAGTTTGTTTACGATGACCTAATAATAACAAAAACAAATATTCTTCTTATTTAGTTTGTTGATAATGACATCAAATTAATAGAAGCAAATTTCCTCCCCAGGGTCATTATAAATCGATAAAGCAACTGCTCCAACTTGTTCATCTGTTGCCTCATCGTTTTCTTTTTCTGTTGCTTTCTCTTTTTCTTCTTTCTGATGCCTTCTTTTTGTATTTATACCAATATTCCATGTCATGCATGTACATGAATATTTATTAGTCACAGGCATCCTGGTTGAGGACGAGTTACCTTCACCTAGCATTTTATGCAAAAAGGCAAACATTGCTTAAATAGGACATGCTGCTGTAATCTTAGACAAATATTTTCACTTCATTTGTAAAACAATATATTTTGTTTGATCCGATTAAAACAGGGAAATTATTAGTTTCTTTTGCCACTAATAGAGTTCCAAGCAAGGACTAAAATGAGTTAGGCTATATTATCAAATATAAACACAATTTTACAATAGAGTTATTACTAGGTGCTGTCCATATTTGAACAGTGGGGTTCTTAATTACAGTGACTCTTATTTTTCCTATGATCACTATTGTGTTTTTTAAACTCATAATTACTCATTATGGGAAAATAATCATTCAGAGACATGACGTAATCTTTGTAGTTTGTATCATGTGTATAACTACCTAGATTTTGGAAAACTTACAGTTTTCAGGCAGAAATTTCTGAGCTGCCTTTAGATTACAAATTTCAATCAAAGAATAAATGAAAATTATATATTTCAAATGTATTCTCTCATTTGACATGTTCAATACAAAGTAACTTGTTGATTTCAAGTGACATGAAATTTTGATAAACTTGTTCAGATTTTATAGAGAAGGAAGAAGATCTTTTGGAATTTATGGCTAAAATGATGATGTGTTTGGTTGATTTGACATACCTTCCCTACTTGCTATACAATTTCAAAATATGACCTTAATGTTCAGATAAAATTTCTGTAATATAGTGTCATTTTAGGTTCATAAGTGACATAAACTGGTCCTTGTACACATAAAATGTTACTTAAATTCACCACACAAACTACCTACTTTTTGTTGCTAAGAAAAAGAGTAACATGTATTTAAAGCCCAAAAGAACATCCCTAAAAATTCTGAAATAATAGTATCCTTAATCAGAGACATTCAAAGATATACTACTACAAGTATATTTGTCTTTGCCTTAATAGTACATTTAATCAACCATAATAATATGTCTTTAAAAAAATGAAATAATAAAAAAAACTGGTTTAAATTAATATGAAACAATCAACTTGTAATCAATTGCAAGTGCTTCAGGAAAAATGCAGAGAAACATGTTACTTGTATGATTATGATTAATGTCTTTTGAATATTGACAATATTTATAAACTATTGTTATCATGGTTATTAAAAAAAACCATTTATCCACAACATGTATTTGTTAAGCATGTTTAACCTTAAGATATATAATTTAAAGTGTAATTACAGATTTAGGTCAGAATACTTGGAGCATTTATTTGACATTTGAAAGATTATTGTTTTTTTTAAACTTCAGGGTAAACAATTGTAAAATCTGTATACAGTCACTTCCTTATAACAAAGACTAATCCCATTCTGTCTGTTATATTAATGCATTGCCATAAGCTTTAAATGAAGGATTATTAGCCCCTTAAAAGCATATTATCTAAAAGATAAACTTGATAATGTAAGAACAACTTTTAGACATAAGGAAAGTCTTTAAAGTTTGAAGACATTTTAGTTCTTTCAAGGATGTTTTTTTCTTGCCAATCAGGGTTTCCCCTGGGTCAATTTTCTTTTTCACCACCTCTTTTGCCATAACAATATATTTTTCGCCACTTTCAATTTTTTTCTCCAACTAAAATAAATATACTTTTTATTTGAAATTCTTTCAAACGAAAAAAGTAAGTTTGCCACATTGTTGTCTTTTATAATTCTAAATACCTATTTTTATACGACCTCAAAAAATTTTGCGGTCGTATATTGGTATGACATTGGCTTCTTCGTCGTCGTCGTCTGAAGACACATTGGTTTTCGCACTCTAACTTTAGTTTAAGTGAATGGATCTCTATGAAATTGTACCATAATGTTTAATACCACAAAAGGAAGGTTGGGAATAATTTTGGGGGTTATGGTACCAACAGTTAAGGAATTAGGGGCCAAAAATAAGCATTTTTATACGACCGCAAAAAAATTTTTGTGGTCGTATATTGGTATGACGTTGGCGTCGTCGTCGTCGTCTGGCGTCGTCCGGCGTCGTCCGAAGACACATTGGTTTTCACACTCTAACTTTAGTTTAAGTGAATGGATCTCTATGAAATTTTACCACAAGGTTCAATACCACAAAAGGAAGGTTGGGATTGATTTTGGGGGTTATGGTACCAATAGTTAAGGAATTAGGGGCCAAAAAGGGGCCAAAAATAAGCATTTTTGTAACTTCTAGACATAACTTGTGTGTTAGTGTATGGATCTCTCTGACATTGTATCACAAGGTTGCATGTTACAAAAGGAATGCTGGGATTGATTTTGGGGGTAATTGCCTCCAAATTTTAGGAATTAGGGGCCAAAAAAGGGGCAAAAAACAAGCATTTTTCTAGTTTCATGACAATAACTTGTGTGTAAGTGTATGGATCTTTCTGAAATTGTACTACTGTACAAGGTTCCATATCACAAATGGAAAGCTGGAATTGAGATTAGGGGTAATTGCCCAAAACGTTTAGGAAAAAGGGGCAGAAAAAGGGCAAAAAAAAAGCATTTTTCTAGTTTCCAGACAATAACTTGTGTTCAAGTGTATGGATCTCTCTGAAATTGTACTGCAAGGTACCATACCACTAAGGGAAGGCTGGGATTGATTTTGGGGGTAATTGCCTCCAAATTTTAGGAATAAGGGGCTAAAAAGGGGCAAAAAACAAGCATTTTTCTAGTTTCAGGACAATAGCTTGTGTGTAAGTGTATGGATCTTTATGAAATTGTACTACAAGGTTCCATATCACAAAGGGAAAGCTGGGTTTGAGTTTGGGGGTAATTGCCGTAAACGTTTAGGAATTTGGGGCCAAAAAACAAGCATTTTTCTAGTTTCCAGACAATAACTTGTGTTCAAGTGTATGGATCTCTCTGAAATTGTACTGCAAGGTACCATACCACAAAGGGAAGGCTGTTATTGAGTTTGGGGGTGATGAATCATAAGGGGGTTCAAAAAATTTGGGGGGGGGATTTTTTTTTTCTTTAAAATTTTCTATTTTAAATTGTTTATTTCTGATTTATATATAAAAGCAAATAATAATGATATGGTTTGAATAGGTAAATTAAAAATTTTTAAGTTCTTAGACCACATTCATTCTGTGTCAGAAACCTATGCTGTGTCAAATATTTAATCACAATCTAAATTCAGAGCTGTATCAAGCTTGAATGTTGTGTCCATACTTGCCCCAACTGTTCAGGGTTCGACCTCTGCGGTCATATCAAGCTGTGCCCCAGTGGAGCATTTTATTTAATCTACATTGTTATAAATAAATAGAACAAACATTTACTTTTTAAAAGATACTGTAAAATTATAAAATAGATCATAAAATCATTATTTTTGACTTTTGGGAACACAGGATTCATCTTTAATAATTATATTTGATATATCATGTTCACTGCAGTAAAGGTCATATGATATTTATCTAAAAATAATAGAAAATTAACAATGTGAAAAGAAAACATATTTGTTGTCATTAATTTGTACATGCATTTATTATTCAAACTACAAAGAATTTTTTCAACATCTAATGTATAAATATAGCAATAATAGCAGATGTGACATAACGGTTCATTAGAGAAACAAACATACATTTAATTTATTTAATATTGTTTTGAAATATATAGGCCTGGTGCATTGCCTAACTATTTCCTTTGTAGTATATAGTCAAGACACTTTTTATAGAAAAAAATATATAAATCCAATTTACAAGAACATAATTATAAATTGAGATTCATATTTTTCATGTGAAAATAAAAATATGAACATGATGTGGTGTAATTTCCATTGAGACAACTATCCTCCCAAGACAAAAGGTAAAAGATGTGAACTACTACAGGTCAACTTACAGCCTTCAACAAGGAGCAAAACCTATACCGTAAAGAAAGCTTACTTAGCTATAAAAGGTCTTGGGATGGCAAAATGTGAAACAATTCAATTTTAGAGAAAAACAATTACCTAATTTTATATAGTAAAACAATTAGTGAAAAAAATCAAATCCATTATATTTTTTATGTCATCAAAAGTCAAAGACTCAGTAGGATTAGTTTAAAAAGTATAACAGAAATACCAAACTCCAAGGTAAATTCAAAAGGGGAAGAATATCTAGATATGTACTTTTTTTCTATTTCAGAGCTATTTAGTAGATGTATGTAAAAGAGGATGTAGATTTTTCACCATTATGGAATTTATTTATAACCATGATAATCTTAATATGACTATGAAAGGTTGCACCTCATGTAAGTAATGAAAGTAAACTATAGAATATATGTTCTACTATAATTGCAATGTAGTATATTTAGTAGCACATGTTATAGATGGGTGAGCAATATGGTGTTTCTGATTAGATATTAGACATGACCACTTCTGTTTTGTTGCATAATATTTGCAAAAAAAATGCACTCATCTTTACATATATTTTTCTGTTTCTTCTGTATTCAGTCAGGATTCTACTTCGTCAAAATTATCTCCCCATAATGCCACCTCATTTTTTTAATGGTGAAGAAGAAAGCCATTATAGGGATTGTGCGCTCTCAATTTATCTCTTGAAAACCGATAGAATTATCCCCATAGCATCATTAGGATCCTTACATGACAGTTGTATTTTAAAAGACAAGCGTATCTACTAGCTATTAAGCCTCATTTTATGTACCTTTAGGCCTTTTCTCAACTTAAAACTATTGCCGGTTGTCAGGGGAAATTCTTATAAAGATAACACTTAACAAATTATAATTAAATATTTCATTGAAGTGCAGACTAAAAATTTCAGAGGTTGATGACTGATTTATTCCCTAAATAACACACACAAAAAAAAAATGTTTTTTTTTTCAAGTTATGCAAAAAAAAGAAAGATCCACAAGTAGTCTGTCGTGAAGGGATTTCAGTTTAAATTTAAGAGGGTGTTAGTGAACAGTGTCAGCAAACAAACATCACAAAGAAATCTAAAGGACATCGAAGGGTCAAGGAAATGTCTTCAGAAATAGATGAGTGTCTACACAGGTTGTAAATCCCTAAATCACTTCATGTCTTAACAATTTGTGAATAAATTCAATATAGAGCCAATCTGCACTTAAAGTCTTTAATAGACAAGAACACTAATATACAAAAACATCCACTCACAAGGATTCTGGCTTTTATTCTCACCCTTTAATGATGAACATTGGAAACACAATAGGTTCAAAGCTAAAAGGTACGAATTAAAAAAATAATCCAGAAATAAAAATAACCATTATATTGTTATTATATACAACAAAAACATAGCAACAAATAAAACATCACTAGATAATTAAGTACCACATCATGATAAATATAACAGTTAGGAAATTCATAATGATTTCAGTATAGACACAACAGAACAGAAAAATACATATAAAATAGTTTTTCACATGTTTCAAACTGTGAATGAGTCTATTAAGTTAACTATAATTTTATTTTTATACTTGTGATAATCATACTGTGATTAACCCATGCAGGAGTTATAATTTATTTTTACTGTTTTAGCATGTGAAGAAGCCTATAACACAACAGATGAAGAGAATACCTGTATATTTGGATGTAAAAATCAAGTTCCTCAGTTGAAGAAATTTAATTTTGATGAGGTAAATTTCATAATTGTTTATCACTTTTTTTTGTGTATTATGTTATAAAGACAAATTGATTTTTGCTGCCTGTTGTCTCTCATGTAACAAATTTCATTCTTTCTTTTTTTTTTAAATGTTCCCACATTATTTTTGTGCAGATAAAGTTAATTAAAAAAATTTCCTGCATGTGTGTTGAAAATTTGAGAAATGCATTCAAATTCATTTTGTTGAGCCTGCAACATTTATGTCGCGAAGCGAGACATAGCTAGCCTAGATTCTGTCGTTGTTGGCATCAACATTTAGGTTCAGTCTGTGGTTAAAGTTATTTTAGACATCAATAACTTTGTCAAACCTTCATGGAAATTTAGGAAATTTGGACAAAAGCTTGTTTATGACCAAAATACAGTATCCTCCAGAGCAAAATTTTGAAAATATTTATGTTCTTTTTTCTGTATTTTACTGATAAATGGACTTTAGTTTTTTTACAGTTCACATTCAAATTTAGTCTGAAGTTAAAGTTTTTCAGTCATCAATAACTTTGTCAAACCTTCAATGAATACTAGGAAATTTGGACATAAGCTTGTTTATGACCAAAAGACAGTATTCAGAGCAAAATTTTGAAAATATTTATTTTCATTTTTCTGGATTTTACTGATAAATAGACTTAGTTTTTTACAGTTAACATTTAAAGACAGTCTGGGATTAAACTTTTTTGACATGATAAATTTGTAAACCTTCATGAATTGGTCCAGGGACACAGTTATCGTCCTTTGATTTTTCGTTGTCTACAAACAGAGTCCCTAGTGTGGACAGTGTATAACTTGCAAATTTTATGCATAAAATAGTAAGAAGTGGGATGAAATTAGATGTAAAAAAATTTGGGCATGAATTTTTAGGTAAAATAGTGATTTGGTCCAGTTTGAAAAGGTAAAAAATTAGTATGTCTGAGGCTGTCAAACTGAATTACAGACCCCCGTCACATAAAATTATCCATATTTTGAGTTAGAGCCTAAAGATTTTTCTATAATTATGCCCCCGCCGTCGCCGTAGCGGAGGGGGCATTAAGTTTTACCCTTGTCCGTCTGTACGTACGTACGTCCCAAAATTGGTTTCCGTTCTCTAACTTTAGTTTGCCTCAACCAAATGTTATGAAACTTATACACAATGCTTAGTACCACAAAACACAGATCAAGTTTGAATTTTGGTGGCGTCACTTTTACCGTTCTAGAGTTATGCCCCTTTACAAATGGAAAATTGCTGAATTTATCGTTTCCATTCTCTAACTTTAGTTTGCCTCAACTAAATGTTATGAAACGTATAAACAATGCTTATTATCACAAAACACAGATCAAGTATGAATTTTGGTGGCGTCACTTTAACCGTTCTAGAGTTATGCCTCTTTATAAATGGAAAAATTGCAAAATTTTTATTTTCTTCTAAATATCAAGTAATTTTTATTAAAATTGGAGTTATCTTCCTTTGTCCATGATTATAATTGAATCAACTACATTCAATGCTTTATACAATGCAATGTTTAATTTTGACTTCTACTGATAAAACACAGATCAAGTTGAATTTGGGTAGTGTCACTTTAACCATTATTGAGTTAGATGCCCCTTTATAACTCGAAAGATTGTAAAATTTTTAGTTTCCATTCTGTAACTTAAGTTTGCCCAAACCAAACATTATGAAACCTACATGTATACACAATATTCATTACCACAAAACTAAGATCAAGTACAAATTTTTTGTTTCTGTTTTATAACTTTAGTGCTTCAACCAAATGATATGAAACTTATACACAATGCTTATTACTACATAATACAGATTAAGTACGAAATTTGGTGGCAACACTTTTACCATTCTTGAGTTGTGTCCCTTTATAAACATTAAAAATTGCTGAATATTTCATTTCTGTTCTCTAACTTTAGTTTGTCTCAACCAAATGTTATTAAACTTATACACAACCGTTCTAGAGTTATGCGTGTTTACAAATAGAAAAATTGCCGAATTTTGAGTTTCTGTTCTCTAAAGTTAGCCTCAACCAAATGTTATGAGACTTACACACAATGCTTATTACCACAAAACTCAGATCAAGATCAAATCTGGGTATCGTCACTTTTACCGTTCTTCAGTTATGTCCCTTTATAACTATATGACATGCAAGCGGGGGCATCATCTGTGTCCACATGTGGACACTATCCACATTTATTTTTCTATAATTTGTCCCAAAAGTAGTAAACTACACTGTAAAAATCTTTTTTGGATAGAACAGGTGGGATTTTTTTAATTTGCTTTTTTTGTCTAAAAGAAATGCACTGCGAAATAACTGTGTTCTCGGGCCAATTATTATGAAACTTGGACAGAAGCGTATCTTCAAGACCATGAAATAGCATCTAAAGAAAAAGTTTGATTTTTTTTTTAAATTCTGTATTTTGCTGATAAATGGACTCACTCTTTAAGTCAACATTACACTTTTACACTGACAGCAGCAATAGCAGGTGAGACACTGGGTTCTGCAGAACCCCTTACAAATTTTTATATTTATGATACATTTATATGTGTCTTTTTGTTAGTACATACACATGTTTGGAATGCAACATGTTAGTACACAGAGATATATTCTTGTTTTATTTGTTTTGCATTAAGACACTATTTAAATATATGAAAGAAAAAGATTTAAACAAAGACCTATGTATTCTGAACTTCTGTTTGAAGAAATTATATGATATCTTTTTTCAGGATCCAATGGATATGATGAACATTCAGTTTATAAATCCTTTCATGTATGTACATAACATGTACAGTAATATGGTAGACAAAGTTTTGAATGGTTTGTCTGTCAGGTGGTCATTCTACATGAGGTCAGGTGATGGGTCAGTGATTGTAGTAAAGTCAGAGCCACAGTTTACACCAGAATTTGATTCAATTGAAACTGATGATGGTATGTTGAAGTAATTTGATCTCACTTTGCCATTAAGTTGATAAACTCCCTCTTGAGAAAAGTCATAGATAATCTATAATTCATGTTGATGGAGTGGCATACTAGAAGACTTTTACAGGACAGTTTTTAAATCTTTTTAGTCCCCTACCGACGAAGTCGAGGGGACTTAAGGTTTCATTCCATCTGTCTGTCCGGCAAATCAGTTTTCCACACTTTTTTTTCCGGTCTGATGATTTTGTGCAGAGTTATGGTCCTTGGACTTAAAAAATTCACTCAAACAATCAGTTTTCCACACTTTTTTTCGTCATGCTTGTTCTCCTTTGAAATTACAAATGCAAATCGTTTTCTAACTTTATAAGTTAATTAGTTAAGAGACTACAGTCCCAATTCCATCTTGATTGAGAGGCATAATGGTTGGCAGTGATATAACATAGATTTCCATTTCCACATCTGTCAGTTAAATGATTCCGGCCCCCTTGAGTCAGTTGTCTCTCTTGTGACAAATTTCACAGGCAACAAAACATAGATGATTGGGGTAGCATCAACACCTACTATTAAATTTTTGTCTCACCGTAGCAGAGGGGGCATTAAGTTTTACCCTTGTCCGTCTGTACGTCTGTTCGGATCAAGTTTGAATTTTGGTGGCGTCACTTTTACCTTACTAGAGTGGTGTCCCTTTACAAATGGAAAAATTGCTGAATTTTTCGTTTCCATTTTCTAACTTTAGTTTGCCTCAACCAAATGTTATGAAACTTATACACAATGCTTATTACCACAAAACACAGATCAAGTACGAAAATTGGTGGTGTCACTTTTACCGTTCTAGAGTTATGCCCTTTACAAATGGAAAAATTGCTGAATTTTTATACCCCCTATACTGCTTTACCTCCGTCCGTCCATCCGTCAGTCAATCCGTCCATCCCTCAGTTCGTCCGTCCGTCTCATGAATATTATTTGTTGCATCTTTCTCAGGGACTACATTACAAGGATTTCTGAAATTTGGTCTCAGGGTTTATATGAGTCAGCTATACTGTGTGATGCGTTTTCAGATTCATCACTCAACAACTTCCTGTTTACCTTATACTTTTAGAAGGGTGGGGGTATCATTAGTGAGCAGTAGCTCACAGATTCACTTGTTCATTTCCATTCTCTAACTAAAGTTTGCCTCAACCAAATGTTATGAAACTTATACACAATGGTTATTACCAAAAAACACAGATAAAGTTCGAAAATTGGTGGTGTCACTATACCGTTCTAGAGTTATGTCCCTTTACAAATAGAAAAATTGCTGAATTTTTCGTTTCCCTTCTCAAACTTAAGTTTGCCTCAATCAAATGTTATGAAACTTATACACAATGCTAATTACCACAAAAATCAGACCAAGGATGAATTTGGGTAGCGTCACTTTTACTGTTGTTGAGTTATGTTCCTTTATAATATTATATGCAAGTGTGGGCATCATCTGTGTCCCATGGACACGTTCCCCATTTATCTTATTAGGTTCATCATTTTATACATTTGTTTTGAATGTGATGTGTTTATGAAAAATTGCTAATGACAGACAATATATATTTGGTATGCTGATGTATCCCAGTTTCAATACAGAAACACATATCCCACTGACCATAAAATTGTATTAATTGTTATCTTCTGCATATCAAACAAGATACATCTCTACAATAACAATTTTAGTTTAGATAATACAAAGAGTAGTATTACATTTTATTATTTTTTTCTTCCTTGTATTAAAACATAAGAAAAATGTAAAATATATGCTACCAGAATATACAATAAATCGTCTTATTTGACACTTTTATTTACCACAATAGATTACAACACAGCTCATTATTTGGAAACAAACTTGGAGGAAGTTGACAGATCTGCAACACCTGTGATTAAAAGGTCTCAGATAATGCCAAGAGAAGACGGAACACAGTTTGCATACAATGTTAATGGTGACAACACTGCTTCTAATGACTGGTTGACATGTGTATCAAAGAAGACTGGTTTGTCCCGTGTGTTTCTGAGCATGTTATTGTTTATGTCCGCCATGATGATGATTTGGCTATGTCTGACTGCAATGGTGACCGCCCCTGACCAGAGAGTCCATGGAAATAATCAGGTACGCATTTATAGTATAAAGAACTGTAACAGCCATTTGTTTTGGATATTTTCATAAAATCAACCAAAATGTGTGCAGAACAACATATAGAAAATTTAAGCTGTGTTTTTAGGAATATCTACGTTCAGCTGATGATAAAAACTACATGATTTTCAACTGAATATTTAAAAATTTTATCCTTTTTCTTCATTAAGAAGGCTGTTGTGATCACTTTTATACATCTTATCGCTATTTGACCGCCAATGCTGGCCATCACAATCATTCCTGTAAAATCCTGCAACAGTGATTGTTGTATGGCATCAATAGTTCAAATCTCAAGATTCTAAAATAGCAATAAGGTTTATTTTCGAAGCATCCATCCAAAATTTTGTAAAGATTGCTGCATTTCAAAGATTCTTACCATATCAATAAAGTAGATAAAATTTGTAGTTTACAAGATACAAAATTTAAACAAATCCATAACTTATGGTTTGAACTATGAGAAAGAAATGAATCACATAAACAATGAATTCATAAGCTCCAATCAGACAGACACTATTAAAACTGGTCTAAATATGTGTTATTTTAACTTGTCTAAATATCTGTACTGGTTGGTATTTATAATTTAAAAATATGTTTAGAAAGGAAATTAAAGTTTGAACAGCATTAATTTTTTGGACTGGTATAGGCAATACGACATCTCTTTTCATTCTTAGTACTTGATTTTGTTATGTAATTTCAGAGACTTAGTATTAATGGTGACCTTGAACATATCAAACAAATGAAGGCATTAGGAATGGAGATATCATATCCTCAGGTTATCTCTGATGATGCTGGACCACTTCCTGTAAAGGTCAAAGTTCAGAGATTATAATTCAGTGACTTAGTCCCAATCAGATAGACTCATAGTATTATGAATTAAAATGTGCATTTGAGATGCATTAAGATATTCAGCGGTATTTTTGAAAGGGAGAATACTATTCATGTGGGATTTCTAGCTTTTAATATGTAATAAACATACTTGACCTTGATGTACTCTTCATAACATACTTGATGTATGTACTCTTCATATTTATTTGTTGTTGTAGTTTTGTTTACCACTACATGGGCATTACAATTTGTTTTTGTACATCAGTGGTTTGGCAAAAGACAAATATGATAAAATGTATTATATTTAAAAGGTTGAATTTGTGACAGTAGTCACATAAACTCTTAAGTCTACTGATTATTAAACTTAACGATGAGTTGTTCCCTAGATATAAATAATAATGTTTCGCAAAATACAACTGGAACACTTTTATATACTTTTCTTTAAAGCAAAAAAAGACAACTATGTTATAAGCCCATTTATTGATATTAAAGTGATTGACAAGATTGTTGAAAGTCAATTATAACTCATATTTTACTTTCTTAATTAAAAAGAACAGAAAAAAAGAGAATTGTAAGTCTCTCTTCAGGTCAAGTCAGAGTAAATGGAAGCCATGTTTGCATGTACATGTATATCCTTTCAGAAAATATACAAATATCTTGGGAGTTCCCATGCTTAATATTTTTTTTTTCAGTTTGCCAAAAATAAACAGGACCTCAAATATTTTTACATCTTTTTATCCTTATATCAAATCAATTATGTTTGAAACAATGAAGTTAGAACTGTAAATATACAAAAGACGAGATTCCACTTTCGATTTTATGAATGAATTGCTCTGGTTGACCTGGGAAATTTTGGTGAAAATGCCTCTTGGGACATTGTGATGTGAAGATATTTGCTTTGTGACATCAATATTTTCCGGAAAAAAGCAATGTTGGAAGATCATGTATTGATCACCAGATACTTGACTTGACCTTTAGATTGTGACCTTTAGAATGATATTTCTTGTAATTCTATCGACAATTAACTTATAATAGAACTTGTGCTGTTTTCATTTAGATTAAATATGAATTGTTTTCATACTTTTTCTTATAGAATTCCATTTTTGTTTGCATGTGATAATTCGTTTATGTTTGTTATTATTAATTTGTTTTATTATACTTTCATAGTGTTTATGGGGAAAATTTCAATATTTAATGCAATTTTTATAACTTTGGTATCAGCAAATTCATATCATTATATGTTTTGAAGTTAAATTATAGATTTTTTTTAATTAAATGTTTAGGGTTTGGTCAATTTGGTGATATATTAACTGATTTTGGTGAATAAACAGATATTTTAATGGAAAGTTTCTAATGCATATTTATATCCTCCAGTACTTAGATGAACTGACGTACTGTCAGGAAATATCAAATTTTATATTCATGGTGTTGAATGTGTGATGCATTGAATATTGTAAGTAAAGGTATCAATTTAACTTTTTTTCGTTATAGGGAAAGCTTATGTGCAAGATCTTTTCTTAAAACCTGTAAAATATCTCTGTATTATTATTAAATTCCATACCATTAGATTCCATTATATAGTCATGGTATATCTATACATATTCTCTACAATGATTCAAGAAAACAAATATTTTCTGTGAACATTAATTTTCAGCAAATTTGTAATTGTTTTTAAACACTTGAATAAGTAAAAATATATAGTTATGAATGAAAATATACTAGAATGTTTTGTGTGATTGGATCTTGAAAGTTATGAATTATTGTGTATCAATATAGTATGTATTTGTTTTTTTTTCAATGGAAAATGATTTTTACTGTGTAATCAAATTACAATATTAATTAGATAAGGGTTGAGAAGTCCCTGATTATGAACCAGTTGTATAGGGTTTTCGTAGACAAAGACATACACTTGTACAACATACATGTATAACATATGTCATGGTGGTATTTTCATAATTACAACTATAAACACAGAAATAACAGGCATTAATTATTTTTGATATTCGTAGGAAAGTTTATATAATTTCAAATGGGGTAATATATTGCATGCCATATTGATTGCTGGTTGGTGTTTAACACCACTTTCATCACTAATGGATATATTGTGGCAGCAAGTTTGTATTGCCCAGAGAAATCCACAGACCTTCGGGCAGAAAGACTGGCAATCCTAGTCAATTAAGATTGAAGTCACATGCTGGATTTGGACTCGCAACCTCAGTGGTGACAGGCTAGTGATTGCTGTAGGTGAACTTCTTAGACCACTAGGCCACCAAGGCCCCATGCCATATTATTGGTAATAATCAGAAAATCCCACATAACAGTGATTCTATGTTAAAAATTTAAACTATAAGAAAAGAAACTACCATATTTGGATATTGAATTATATTAAGTTTTTATGGAAATTATAAAGTGTTTGCTTTTTGTATTCAAGAAAACCCTTTGTACATCATAGATGTGAATTTTCTTTTGCCTTTGATATTGTTGTAAGAAAGATAATTGTGTTTTAAGGAGTAAAAACACTCACAAGTTCTACCACGAGTGGTGAAAAACGGGATAAAAACATGGTGAAAATTACATCAGTATTTTGTATCACATAGAGATCATTTGTAATATCTATTGTGTATAAATTTAAATGGGTTTTGTAAAATGTCCTTTTCAATTAAAGGTTGCCTTAACATCCAATTTAAAAGGTAAGAACAACAAGAAACAAAACTGAAGAAGTGAAAAATATTTGTGAATAATAATGTTGATAATGATGTTAATCTTCCAAAGGACTTCAGTGGAAGACAAAAATTGTGTCAGAAAAGAAGTCCATTTTATACAAGATTTATTTTAGGCATTAATGTATGAGGAAATTTAGGTTATTGAACAGGTCCCTGTTAAGTGTTACTGACAGATATGGAAAGGACAATTTACCAAACCAAACATTATGTAGAATGAATGATAATAATATTCAATGTTTATGTATGAATGTGAAGTATTGAGGTTAAACATGTGTGAATGAAATGAATGGATTTGCTTGTTCAGATAGTTTCTTTTATGATAAATTATATTGCTTTATAAATGTTATTTTTCTCAATTAATTGAGATGGTATAATTGCTATAAAATATATTCTGCAATACTGTTTTGTAGCTATACTGTATAATTTGTGATGTTTTTATGGGAGGCTTTGATGGAATTTGTGAGCACTAAAACACTTTAAAGTAATGTTGGGGAAATGATGAATGAAAAATCTCATGCCCTGAGCCATGATATAGTTAATTTGTTGTAGTCTAACTTATGCCTCCCATGAATATCATGTACATTTTGTACTGCTATATTTTCATAACTGGTAGTTTTGTATAAAGAAGAACATGATACAATATAAGACTTCTGCATCTGGTCCAGGAGTAGAAATCTCAGCTTTTAATACCATAGAAGATATTAATTTCTGCTTTTGGCATCAAAATACAAAACTTATTCAATGAGATCATGAAAATAACATGTTCATTGATACAAAAAATGTAAACATGCATATAAATCTTTGAAATTCTTTGTAGAAAACCTGCTTATGTACACATGTGTGGGATATAAAGAATAAATGTATACAAATGGGGATTTTTTCGTTTTTTTTTTATATCTAATGCTGTTTTCAGTCACAGTTTTTTGTTGGTCATAATGGCACATGACACATCACCTTACAGAAATATATCTGCCTGCCAAACATAAGTCAGTAGGACATATAAAACTTACAATAATTCTACAGATAAAATATAGTTAACTTATTACTGGTATTAATCTAACCACAAGAACTTAATGTTGACCAATGAATCAAGAAAATGCAGTCAATGTCAGATATTCTGAACTCTGTTCAAGGACATGTAATGGTGCAACTTGCAATTATTATATATAACCACAAGAATGCATCTGTTGTCGTGTGAAGCATACCCCCAATTGTAATTCAAATTTTCAGAAAAGTGGAAGTAGGTGTCTGACATACCTGAAAAGTGCATACACATTACAACTCATCACTGTTGAAGTGCTGACCAAAAATGAAATCATTCTGTTCAAGAGTTTCTGAGAAAAATTTGACGAAAAATGTTCATTCAACATATTGCAAAAATTCAAAGTATCCGCAATCAGGAAGAAGGGTATCTGACAGGTAAAAAGTGCTAACACATATTTTCTGAGAAAAGAGTGACGTCAATTTTTGTGCCCCCGCCAAAGCGGAGGGGGCATTAAGTTTTACCCTCGTCCGTCACTGTACGTCCATCCGTCTGTAAGTCCCAAGGTTGGTTTCCGTTCTCTAACTTTAGTTTACCTCAACCAAATGTTATGAAACTTATACACAATGCTTATTACCACAAAACACAGATCAAGCTTGAACTTTTGGTGTCACTTTAACCGTTTTAGAGTTATGCCCTTTACGAATAGAAAAGTTGCTGAATTTTTCGTTTCCGTTCTCAAACTTTATTTTGCCTCAATCAAATGTTATAATGTTATGAAACTTATACATAATGCATATTACCACAAAATACAGATCAAGTTTGAATTTTGGAGGTGTCGCTTTTACTGTTCTAAGAGTTATGCCCCTGTACAAATTGAAAAATTGCTGAATTTTTCGCTTCTGTTCTCTAACTTGTTTGCCTCAACCAAATGTCATGAAACTTATACACAATGCTTATTACCACAAAATTCAGATCAAGTACAAATTTGGGTAGCGTCACTTTTACCATTCTTCAGTTATGTCCCTTTATAACTATATATGATATGCAAGCGGGGGCATCATCTGTGTCCCATGGACACATTCCCCATTTATTGTGGGATGAATTTTATGGCTGGATGAATGAATGGAAAAGGTGATTGCCAGATAGCCCCCACTTTTAGAGTGGGATAAAATAATACAGATGACCTGTTAATTATAGGACCAGTAACTGAAAATTAATGTAGTCAGGCCAACTTAACATCATTTTCTGAATCATGCAAATGAGGTCAGGGCCAAGGTAATTTGAAATTTGTCAAATGAACATGTACACCTTGCAATCATTCTTTAAGCCAAATATAGTTAATACCTGTACATTGATCACTAAACAAGGACAGTTAAACACAGTTTGACAGAAAAATATACCTTACAATGATTCTATAAACCAAATTCAGTTGACCAAGTTTTTATACGACCGCAAAAAATTTTTGCGGTCGTATATTGGTATGACGTTGGTGTCGTCGTCGTTGTCCGGCGTCGTCGTCTGAAGACACATTGGTTTTTCGCACTCTAACTTTAGTTTAAGTGAATGGATCTCTATGAAATTTTACCATAAGGTTCAATACCACAAAAGGAAGGTGGGGATTGATTTTGGGGGTTATGGTACCAACAGTTAAGGAATTAGGGGCCAAAAAGGGGCAAAAAAATAAGCATTTTCTAGTTTCCAGACAATAACTGTGGAACGATGTATGGATCTCTCTGAAATTATACTACAAGTTTCCATACCACAAAGGGATGGTTAGGATTTGCTTTGGGGGGTTATGGCTCAAACCGTTTAGGAATTAGGGGCAAAAAAGGGGGAAAAACAAGGTTGTCCTGGTTAATGGACAAATACTGTAGTACAAAACATAATTTAAAGCAGTGTAAGGGAGATAATCAAATACATCATTGAAATTATCTCCCTTGATGCTGAATCTAACCATGTATTTTGATTTTTGATTTTTGGCCCAGTTTTCAAGTTGGTCCAAATTAAGGTCCAAAATCAAACTTTGTTTGATTTCAACAAAAATTGAATATATGGGGTTCTTTGATATGCTGAATCTAACCATGTATTTAGATTTTTTATTTGAGGACCCCGCTATCAAATTGGTTCATATTGAGGTCAAAAGGGTCCAAAATTAAACTTCGTTTGATTTCATCAAAAATTGAATTATTGGGGTTCTTTGATATGCCAAATCTAACCGTGTATTTAGATTTTTAATTTTGGGTCCTGTTTTTTAAATTGGTCTACATTAAGGTCCAAAGGGTCCAAAATTAAACTTAGTTTGATTTTAACAAAAATTGAATTCTTGGGGTTCTTTGATATGCTGAATCTAAACATGTGTTTAGATTTTTGATTATGGGCCCAGTTTTCAAGTTGGTCCAAGTTGGGGTCCAAAATTAAATTTTTTTTGATTTCAACAAAAATTGAATATATGGGGTTCTTTGATATGCTGAATCTAAACATGTATTTAGATTTTAGATTTTTGGCCCAGTTTTCTAGTTGGTCCAAATTGGGGTCCAAAATTAAATTTAGTTTGATTTTAACAAAAATTGAATTCTTAGGGTTCTTTGATATGCTGAATCTTAACATGTATTTAGATTTTAGATTTTTGGCCCAGTTTTCAAGTTAGTCCAAATTAGGGTCCAAAATTAAACTTTGTTTGATTTCAACAAAAATTGAATATATGGGGTTCTTTGATATGCTGAATCTAAACATGTATTTAGATTTTAGATTTTTGGCCCAGTTTTCAAGTTGGTCCAAATTGGGGTCCAAAATTAAACTTTGTTTGATTTCAACAAAAATTGAATATATGGGGTTCTTTGATATGCTGAATCTAAACATGTATTTAGATTTTAGATTTTTGGCCCAGTTTTCAAGTTGGTCCAAATTGGGGTCCAAAATTAAATTTAGTTTGATTTTAACAAAAATTGAATTCTTAGGGTTCTTTGATATGCTGAATCTAAACATGTGTTTAGATTTTTGATTATGGGCCCAGTTTTCAAGTTGGTCCAAGTTGGGGTCCAAAATTAAACTTTTTTTGATTTCAACAAAAATTGAATATATGGGGTTCTTTGATATGCTGAATCTAACCATGTATTTTGATTTTTGATTTTTGGCCCAGTTTTCAAGTTGGTCCAAATTAAGGTCCAAAATCAAACTTTGTTTGATTTCAACAAAAATTGAATATATGGGGTTCTTTGATATGCTGAATCTAACCATGTATTTAGATTTTTTATTTGTGGACCCCGCTATCAAATTGGTTCATATTGAGGTCAAAAGGGTCCAAAATTAAACTTCGTTTGATTTCATCAAAAATTGAATTATTGGGGTTCTTTGATATGCCAAATCTAACCGTGTATTTAGATTTTTAATTTTGGGTCCTGTTTTTTTAAATTGGTCTACATTAAGGTCCAAAGGGTCCAAAATTAAACTTAGTTTGATTTTAACAAAAATTGAATTCTTGGGGTTCTTTGATATGTATTGAGATTTTAGATTTTTGGCCCAGTTTTCAAGTTGGTCCAAATTGGGGTCCAAAATTAAAATTTGTTTGATTTCAACAAAAATTGAATATATGGGGTTCTTTGATATGCTGAATCTAACCATGTATTTTGATTTTGGACATTGGACCATAATAGGTAAATTAAAAAAATTCAAGTTCTTAGGCCACATTCTTTCTGTGTCAGAAACCTATGCTGTGTCAAATATTTAATCACAATCCAAATTCAGAGCTGTATCAAGCTTGAATGTTGTGTCCATACTTGCCCCAACTGTTCAGGGTTCGACCTCTGCTGTCGTATCAAGCTGCGCCCAGCGAAGCATTTTATTGTACTTACAGAAACTGAAAAAAAACTATGTGGTCAATGAACCTAATTACTATTACATTTAAAGAAAAATGATTCATTTTCTATAATGGTGGACAAACTTGAAACCCATAAACATAAATGTGGTTTTGTTTAATGTATTTTTGGCTTTCCGTACCTTAGGTGTTTAGTTAATCATGAAAGGTTAATTCCTCAAACAAGTATTGTGTTCACTACTTCACTGTTAATATGTGCCTTGAAACTATTTGCATATGTTGAGGAAAGAGAGATAATTTAATCACCAGTGTTACGGTACTAATACTGATTACTTAATGGAATGAACTTTTAACCTACCGGTATCATCAAATTTAAAACAATTTTGCTCTGCTCGACAAAAAAGGAAAAACAATTTAGCATAAAAAATATATTTATTTCCATTTATTAATATTGGTCATGAAGTTTTTAAGGCTGTTTCCTTAAAAGATTCAAACATATGATATAAACTGTGTTTGGCAGATGTCTGTCCATATTCTTCTTTCAATTTATCAAAATTTGCTCCAAGGTCATGTGACATTATGGCTAAGCGACTTTCTTCTGCTGCTTCAGATACTTCCTGTTAAAAAAGAAATATTTTCTTACAGTACAACATGAAAGAGGAATGGTGTGACAGAAAAACTTTTAGGAAATGACATAAGCAATTCAAAGAAAATAGAACTCTTAACAATAAGCAATTTACTAATTGGAACTTAATTATGTCATTTCTCGTGCAAGCATAAATTTGTCATCCATCAATATTTTAATTTCCCAATTTGCAAGGGAAATAACTGAAAATTAGTAGGTACCCCAAAGAAAAAAATAAACTTGACCTGTACTTAATGGTCAGTTATATTCATGCCAACTAAAAGTATACTGACAAATATTTTAAAAAAAATCAAAAGAGTAATTACAGAAGCCATGCTTTATATTGTACATATGACAATAATAATAAACTCACATGATGTTGAAAGCATAAAAGACTGTATATAAGTGGCCAAATTCTCATAAATTGAAATGAATAGGTACATAAGTTT